ATTTGAGGGTCTGTCCCAAATGCTTCATAACAACCAATCATCCCTGTTTCCGGATATTTTCTTTTACACCTCCCGCTTTGTGAGGACTTAATGCTACTAGAAATTTTGCCATCATGTGTTTCTGGAACGCAGATCTGAGAATGCGTTTTATGCATTTATGGCTGGCAATAAATCTCATAATGTTTGAAACCTCTGGTTTAGCCAGCATTCCCGGTTTGGCATCAGCTATTTCACCTTTGTGTCTATTGCATAGTTTAAAATGTGTTACCTGATCAACTCCTATGGAGCTGTGCTGTGACTAAATGCAGTAAAATACATCAGCAGCCTACAGACTTGTTGCAAAACACACCCTTTCATAAAGCAACAAAGAACTGACATTTCTTTTCAGACTGCTTTCAGCTTTTAATATTTAATATTGTGATCATCAGTTTTCTATCATGTTCTTTTTATTTAATGAGTTGTTGAAAATATTTACTTTCTTCTCCAAACCTCTCTGTCTTGTAATCATTCTGGAGGCATCTGGAACTGAAGTCTTTGATACTCTGTTTATCTGATTTTAGCTCATTCAAAATTTCTATCAGAGAAATCTGGAAATCATTAAGATAATTTATGTTCTCCATCTAAACCCATTAAAATAGTAGTGATTGTAATTCTCTAGGCTCTGTGTATGTGTGTGGTTGGTTTTCAAACTTTGTTGTTTCCAGGATATTCCAATAGCCTTGGCTCTTCTTCTGCCTTAGTGTGGAAGGACTATTGCTGAGTTACATTTGACTATATTATTTTGGCTTGATATTGGGAAGAGAGAAATTAAAAAGCTTATTGAAATTGGTGGAAAACACCAGGAAGGAGAGAGAATTTGAGACAGAGTGACAAAATCCGAGTTCAGTTCCCTCTTCTGCTTCAAGTGATTTGATTCCTCTATCTCAGTTTTTTGTCTGAAAATCCGGGATAGTTCTCCTTTTCCTCCTGTCCTTTCCTCAGTCTAGTATTTCCAAAATGTCTTTCATGTATGCATATTGCCTAACAAAAACTGACCCCAAAGCTTACATATAAGGTCAAGGAGCCCTAACATTTTGTTAAGATGGATGGCATTGCTGGGTAGTCAGTACTTCTTTGGAATGTGGTGGTGTGCCTAACAAATGTCTCTATGGTTTGAGTTTATTTGGTAAATTTATTCCCAGACAAATGCATGTTAGTACAACCTTTTAACAACTGTTAAATGATATACTGAGGATTTTTGGGTAGCTCACACCAGCAAAAGGTTCTGGCATGTGGGAGAAGTTTCACCTTTGATAGAAAAGTCAGCTTCTGTCAAGATCATTAAATACTTGTTTAGTTGTCTACAAGATTTTTGTTCATTTCCAGTTAATAAAATATACAACAGAACCTGCTAAATTTCTTTCTGACCCACATGGTTAAGATAAAACTTTTGCATGCAGTGTAAGTCAAGCTGTATAACTAACTATAGGCAACTTGGGAAATACATGTATGAGAAAATAAATGAACTAGGAGCCAAGCCATCTAATTTACTGCCAGGATTGCTCTTCTGAACTAATACAAAAACCCCAAATATATTTATCTCTGTAGCTTAATTAAGAATTAAAACTTTAAAAAGTAATTGAGACCATCCATGTTGTGATTTCATGGACAAAGCAAAGTGCTTTAAGCAGAGCACTGAGAGAGCACTGTATCTAGATGATACATCACTCATCAAATCCTGTCTTTTTTATAATGTGGTAGTGGTATAAGTCTAGGAACACAAACACAAATTTTATCACTGAAACCATTACATTTTTAAGCTTAAAAAAAAAAAGTGTAAACTGTGTTCTAGTCTCTTATTCTTGGAACTTTCTTTTCCAAATACTGTTTTTGAGCTCAAACTGAACTGGAAACTCTAAGTGATGTGTCTATATACTTTGGCATTGGCTACTGATATTGCCCTCCTTTACAAAACAGTAATTGTAAATAGTGTACTCTCTTCTGTACAATAGGCAGTGATGAATTGCTTTATATTTGTCTTCAGACAGAAAAAAATGTATGAATGTTTGCATATTGATAAATGGGGAAAAAAGATAATGGTCAAAGACTCTCACAGTTTACTTGGTCTTACTGTGAAAAACATGGTCTTTTTTTAATTATAGAAGTACAAAAGATGTGGAATTGCATTATTACTGTTATGTCCCCAATACCCATAGCCCATTTTTTCTAGGTAAAGCACTCAGCTCCGTGATTGAAAGGCAACTGCTGTGACAGATGATTTACACTTGTTTATTTGCTCACATTAATGGCTCCAGCTAAACAATTCTGGGGAAAGAAATTACTACAATGAATTGAATTTTCTGTGATGCAGAAAAACTGATTTTTCCGCTTTACGTAGCTGGAAAGCAGGGTGGTTACTGACATTTTGGTTTCTTCACCAGCAGTAGCGAATAAATTCAGTCTGGACATTTTTAGATAAAAGGCTGTTTTGCCTGCATAAACTGCCACTGAGGCTTAGTTACCATTGTTGCAAAGCTTAGAGCAAACAAAGCAGCTGTTTCAGCCGAATTTAAACATGGTGAACACGAATAAAGCATATTAACTCCAGCTGTGTACTGATAACAGCTGGGAAGGAAAATCACTGCAAGGGAACCTTCAAGTAAACTTTGAATTCTAGCAGGCTTAGCTATCATGAGTATGCCTCTGAGGGAGGAGCAGCGGTGAAAATTTGATCCTTAGAATTGTGGCGAATTTAATGAGAAATTCCCGTGCCTCTTTGTGTGCTTCTCTAAGATGCAGAGCAGGTTCTGGAGTCAGTGCCGTCACCTTTGAAGATTTTCGATGCAGATCTTGTACTGTACATACACTGAAGGGCAATTTTGAGATCAGGGCAAGCACTGAGTGATGGATTCTGTGCAGAGTAACGGTGTCCCTTTTAAAGCAAGATATTGCACCCCTGCCCTGGCTGGCTAGAGACCATGCTGTAATCTCTTCAGTAGCATTCTGCTTGTTTGGTTGGTTGGTTTAGTTGGTTTTGGGGGTTTTTTTATTTTTAGAATAACCTGTGCCAATATTCAGGCTACTTCTGAGGGGTCACTTGCATTTTGTTCACTTTAGTCTATTGAGTACAAACAGCAGTTTAAAATTAGGAGAAATAATTAATGTCACTTACGGGTAAAACCAGCAAAAATTACTCAGAGCAATTGTACTAAACCAAGTACTCCCTTAGGTCCTTTTTGCAGTAGAATAATGGTTTACTTAGGTTTAGTTCTAAAGGGAATATATTTTAAGAATTTCCTTCTAATCAATACTCTGTGATAGCTCATGATTAAGAATAATTCTGGAACAATTATGTAGATGTCCCTGCTCACTGCAGGGGAGTTGGCCTAGATGACCTTTAAAGGTCCCTTCCAACCCAAACCATTCTATGATTCTAACATTATATTTCACATTTGTATTTTAAACGTAACAAGTTAATTCAAGGCTTCCTTATGATGCCACATGCTCTCAAAAACCCATAAGTTAAACATAAGTAGCAGTGCTGAGGTGCTGCAGAGTGCAAAAGAGCAGGTCTGTAAGTGTATGCTGTGCGTGGTCAGTATTTGCAAATTGATGCATCTATTGATAACTTTCAGTTGCGCTGTACCCATGAAAATTCAAGTAATGTTATGACAAGAAAACACATGTTTTCTAAGTTAGATGAAGTGTCTGTAGCTTAATAATTCCACTTGGCATTCATCAGAGTTTTGGGGGGCTTTTAAAAGAAAAGGGTTTTTGGATATTAATGTTATTGCCATTAACCATATTCATGTGATTCCCTGGCTGTCTTTGAATACACATACAAAGAAGATGACGGCAGTGTTCAAGGTGCAGGTGGGAACGGCTTCTGTGCTGGAGCATGGAAGCTTTCAGCAATTTCTTGCGATTGAGATAACAGAACAAACGTCCATTTTTGTGTAATTCTTGTCTTCTCTCTGTGTTTTCCCCCTTTCTCTTACTTTTTGTCTTTCCCATCCCTTCAGCTTATGTTCATGTTCTGTTTGGTGTCTTCTTCTAACCTCCATGGAGTTGGAATCATGTCTTGGGTATGTTCTACAAAGAACCTTGTGTACTTTAGGTTCATGTAAAAGGACTAGACTTAGACAGCTAAAGTTTTGGACAGGAGGCAATGCAGCTGTCTGTGTCGCTCTGAAAAGAGAACATAAGGATATGAATGAAGACATTTAAATGAGCCCGGTTAGTATTGTCATAAAGTTCTTTTAATGTTAACCAGCTGTTACAGACTTGTTCTCATTCTTTAGTAGATTACATGCCTCTTATTTTGCTGGAAGTCAGCGCTCCATTTCTGTATGCATAGCAGACCATTATATAATAAAACAGGTCTTCAGTTTCATGTGTATACAATTATGAGAAAGCAGTAGTTCCTCAAAGAAGGCAATTTTGGCATCATTCATAAGGAGTGTTTTCAAATATAAAGTATGGAGTATGTTGAGTGAAAAATGTAAACACGTATGGATGTATGTGAAAATAGTACACGAGTGAAAGAGTACAGGAGAAACATGAATGAGGGAAATGGAATAAAAAGCACATCTTGCAAATGGCTTGACAAGACCACATCAAAACAGCTGTAAAGCTGAGTAAACTCCAAAGCCTAGTGGCACACACAAATATGAGGAGAATTTTAGTGTTCCTGAAAGACAGAGACCTGTCTGAGTGGGTCACTGAAAGTACTTGGATGCTGTACGTTAAAATTATTTTCTCTTTCCGTGTGCTTTTATAGAAAAAATAATTTGTCTCAGTGAGAGAAGTCTGATGGCTCTGATCTTTTTATGATGGAAGTAACTTTCTCATTGAACCTGGGACTGTGCCCAATAAGCAATTGTGTATTAAATAATTGGTAATATTGCATTTTGATTTTAATTATCCCTATCTAATACAGTTTGTTTTATCATGTTTTTCAGGTTTGATAGTTACACTGGGTCTTCGATTGTGACCTCCTCCAAGTTGCAACACTGAAAACAATGGCAACAGAATGTATAAAAAACTGCTGTAAATGGTGTTTCTTCGTGGAAAAAGAAAAAAATGAGTGTGAGTTCTGACATAATGACATTGACTAAGGGTTTTGGTGTTCTGGCTTCAGTAATGGTGAGATTTCCCATTAATAAAATGACTGTGTCAGCCCTGATAAACTTGAAGTCTTTTACAACATCCAAAATTCTTTCCATACCTCCACTTGGAGATTGAACACATGCTTGTTAGTGTTATGAATTGAAATTGGAACTGAAAAATAACACTTGTCTAGAGTCCGCTCCTTGCAGCCTGGAATGCTATCCAAAAAAGCTAACTTTTTTTTTACCCAAGGTTGTGTAAAGGTCTTGTATCTTTCAGACTCTTAAGAGTGAATACTTTTTTTCAAACTCTCTGTTAAAATTTGCTGTTAGAATTTTCTTTGGTGTCTTAGTTGTTTGAAGAACTCTTCTATGATACAGGTGTACATCTTGTAAAAATTCACTTAAGAGCGAAGTAGCTATAAATGTAGAGGCTTGTAGAGGCTAAACAAAGAGTTTAGATCTGTACAGGTGTCATGAGGATTAATATAATTTCCAGATGCTAGTCCTGAATGCTGGTAAAACTGAATTCCAGCAGCCGTTAAGTAATGTATCAAGCACAGATCCTATTAAATAAAAGAGATCTGTTCATAGTATTGTTCAAAACTTAATGCACATGTGGACTGTCTGTTTTTTGCTCTTTATTTTTAGCAGTTTCCATGGCGCAGGAATCTGAAGCAGTAGCCGCAAGCAAGCCAACTATTGTAGAGAAGCCTCCATTGTCTTCTGTGTCAGTGAAGCGTCAAGTTGGCTGTTCAGAGGATTATCTGCTTTCTAAACTGCCCCTGGATGGTCATGAGGTACCATTTGTGGTCCCTCCATTCAAATTGGCTTATGTACAGCCAAAGAACCTTCCTAGTATCTCACATGCTGGAAGGATTCAAGGTAAAACACTGAATTTCATTTCAGAGTTGCTGAAACAGTTGTTGAGCTTCTGCTGCTTCTTGAAAGTTGTCGAGTATTCCTACTGAAAACATATGTTTGCAGAACTTTTCTAGAAGCCTGATCTTGTCTCTTTTCTCTCTGGACAACCAGAGAGGTTTTGGGAAGGATGTCATCCCACTATGAATCTCTGTGATGTTGCATGAATAAAACTGAAAGGGAGGATTGCACACCAGTGCTCATACTCAAAGTAATGGAAGACACTTAAAGGGAACAGAAGCTTTAGTAAAGAATTTATTGGAGGCAAGGAAAGACCTAACACATTCCCAGCATCCACATCACTCAAGTAAAGAAGGAGGGTGGTCTGGATTTAATGTTTAATGTACTGATCTGTTTTAACATACTAACAAGTCTTCCTTTTCAAATTTTGCCAATAGCATGTACTGCTCCATGGCAGAATTTTTTTCCCCTATTTCCTTCTCTCTTTGCTGCTCTTTGGCCGGCCAGGAGTCACAGATCTCAGTGGTGTAAGGTTGCACATGATACTGTGATTCTTTGCTTCACAACAATCTTGTGCTTCAATATCTGCCAATAGTTTGGCAACAATAGTTTGTCCTATGTTCAGACTGCCAAAATGTTGTACGTGCAGTTTAAGCACAGTGGCATTTTAAAAGAATAGGAGCCTGGCCCAGTAGCATGAGTTACAAGGTATATGCTGTCATTAGGCTCTTGGTCCTGCCAGGACATGCCTAGAATTAGGTAAGGGAAGATCTTGGTACAGGGGCATACCTGAATGGTTGTTTTCTCTAGAGTTGCTTTGCCTCGGGGATGTGATAAGCTGATAAGATGCTTTTAGTCCCATGTGACTGTATTTCTTTTCTGATGATGGAGACCTTAATAACTGAAAAAAGTCAACCACGTTGCATAATAACTAATGCAATACCACCTAACCTTTTTGTGTTTGTGTGGTTTTACTCCCACCCTTCTCTCTTCTCCCCAGGTCTTTGCTGTTGCTTCTTTTCTTCTCCCGCATGCCTATTACCAAACTTCCTCCTCACCCACCCCTGCTGGTGACACTGTCACTAAAGCTAAGCTAATTAGCCTAGTAGAGAATTTTTGGTTTAGATTGGCTGTTTTGTGCTTGATCTTTTTAGTGGGCTTTATTTGTCATGTCTGTGTCACCAGACATGGACAGGCAACCTACCAGTTGGAGGTAGAACATGTGAGGCCCTCCTCATCTCTAAGCCTGATCTCCTTCAACCTCCCTGCTTTCCCACTACTGCAGTAGCTAGTTCTTGTAAGTCCATACTTGAACAGGGTACAGAAATGCAGGACATGCTCCTGGTAATCCCCTCTCTCATTGCATCTGCGTTCCAGCTCTGCCTTGCCTACCTTATCCTCAAGATACTGTGCAGAGAAGTCCATCAAGGACTCTGAGGCACGAATGTTCTCCGGGGAGCAGGAAGACGTGTCTAACAACCTTTAGATAAACGTTTTATTTGTTCATGCTGTTCTGCACAATCTTATGAGTCAGTGACTTGTAAACCAGTGACTTGTCTTCATTGGGAATTCTGCTTCATCATCATTTCTGAAGGACCTGGTGAACAGAGTGGCCCTTAGGCTATAAAGCCGGTAGATCATCTGGCAGGATGACCTGACTCTTCATAATTATCTCTCTTGAGCAAATATTTTAAATTCTTGAACAAATATTTGAAAAGTGGCTCTTACATTAAAGTAGGCAACTTCCATTTCTCTTTCCAAATATAAATACTTATTTTTTTTAAGTGCAGCTTTTAAAGCCACATTAAAGTTGTGTTTAAAAATGCAAAATTTACTTTTTAGGGAGATTCACTAAATACAATGAAGTGTGCTGTCATTCTTCCTTTCTTTCCTATCCAAAAGCACCAGCATATTCAAAAAATGTATTTAGAGTATTTGCTTCTTAGACCATTTTTAAATATCTGTGTAAGTCCAAGTTCTGCTCTCGGTTCCACTCCATTTTCTGTGTGTATCTGACCATTTTCCGTAAGGGAAACAGTACATGCTCAGTGTTAGCTCTTGGCATCCCTTCTGAAAGCAATTATGTTCTGGCAGGCTTTCTCTTCAGTACTCACTGCAGCATGTCTCATGCTCTCACAGAAGTAAGCTAGCAGGGAGAAGTGTGCTCCTGGTCTGGAACACTGGCTTTTCTGTTGTCTGCTGTGTATCAGTTCTTTATGGCCTCACTTCTAATGTTTATCCCTATTTATGTCATGCTCAAGCCTATTATACTTGAATTCTTGCTTTATGATCTCTCATATTCCATCTCACCATTTTAGTTATTCTTTTTTACTTACTTTGCTAACACCTGGGGGGAAGAATCTTACAGCAATAATTGTTTGCCTCTTATGGTGTGGCACACTTGCAGAATTGAAGGCACTTTATAATGGGGTAAAGAACTCTTTAACAGGTAGGTTGAAATCCAGGGAGGTGAAGCGAAGGAAGCAAATGTCAGAGCTTGTCAGAGTCCAGGTCACCCCATCCCCATTCTCCACTGTACTGTTATATATGGCTTATTTTCACTCCAGACAGACAAAATGAAGCACTACATCAGTGTCCTTTACTGTTCTGCTGACCAAGACATGCATGTCTTTCCTGAAAGGATTATGAGTAAAGGAAAGAAAAATAGGGCAGCTGTGCTGTACTGGGCTGAGTAAAGGGCTGGGATTCAGGCATTCTTAGATCTGTCTACTTGTGCCTCAGCCAACAATTCAAGTCATTTTGGACCACTGATTTTACCACTGACAGACTTCCTATAGAAATTGGTTGACAAGGAGACTGCAGTCACAAGTCGCATTGTCTTTCCATACAAGACCCTCCTGAAGGTCTGGAGGTCCATTAGCCAAGTGGGAATGTCCTGGGGGTAGGGACAAAAACCAGATGTTTTCTGTATACCTTCCTACTTTTCCTGTTAATTTCTGTCTTGCTGTCTGTCTTTGGAGCCTTCTGTATTTTAACTAGTTTTAATTCCAGTGTTTGCTAGCACACTGTGGAAATCTGACATAATGTGTTTTCTTTACTTTTTTTTTCCCCCCTCTTCCTGAAGCAGATAATATTGAAATATTTTGTCCTTTGCCCTGAAGGCACTCTGCCTGCCTTATGAAGCCAGGCAGCATGTGTTATGTCTGGAACTCTTGCATTTGATGTTTACTTGTGCTCCGTAGAATCTGCCAGAGCCTCACTTGGTGACCGGAAAGCAGAACTGCACGGCGTGTACCAGTGGCCCCACTATGACGTGTACAACCCATTCTATTTGGAGCATCGGATTTCGCCAGATCTGATTAGGCGCTTCCAAGCAAAACCAGATAATAGGAAATTATATGGATCAGGTGAGAAGGACTGCACCCTTACTTTTCTGTCTTCCTCCCTTTCCAAAGGTTTATAGGGAAGAGAAAAAAGCCATTACTCTACAGAAGCCACATGTGCTTATATCAGTTCTCAGACTGGTCTGTATGCTACAGACACTTCTTGGTTGGTGAACTGGTCTGTGGAGCCAGCTCTGCTTGATTTCCAGCTGCGCTGTTACTTTCTGTCTTTTGGGGCCTTAACATGACCTGCATGCATCACATGAAGGCAGACAAACTGGCAAAGCAAGCTAGTGTAGCAACCTCCCATCCAAAACAGGGTGCAGTACTGGGGAATCCAGCTACCAGTCATAGGAGTATTTGAGGGAGATGGAAAAGGAAGTGATGTAGCGTGTTGAGTGGGGGAATGCCTGAGGAGTAAATATATGAAGAAAGGAACAAGCACCAAAAAACATTGAGAAGCAGATGATAAGAACAGGTGCAAAATGGGAAGTGATGCTATAGCCCAGCTTTTTTGTAGTTTGCTTTTGAAGGTGCAGACATGTTCCCACTTGTCATTGCATAAGTGTGTTTAAGAACAGGGGAGGGCTGTGAGCCAGTAAAAGTTTAGATAGAAAGTGTTTGACTACCTAGGTAAAAATTTTCTCTACGCTGTTCATTGGTATCCTGTAATGAATGCTGTTTAGAGTAAAGTAGATGACTAAGTGTTGCTTGGTGTAAGTGATTGCTAAGGCAAATGGAATTCAGAAAACTCATTTACTTGAAGAAATGTACACACCTCTCTATCGAATCAGAACCTGGCAACAGCATGCATTTTTAAAGATGCTTTGTTTAGAATGGAATAGCATGCTTATTTTACACGCTGGAGGAAATGTCTCGGTCTGTGGCCTGTTTTAAAAATAATTCTGAATCACTATGGAGACTAGATGAAAAGACTACTCCATGTATATATATATATATATAATTTTTTTTTTAAGGGAGCAAAGCACATGTAGAATTTTAGTAGCCTTTAACGCATATGGTTTTGCTGGACTTTGTAAGCACCTGTGGTGGGAGCCAAATGGATTTTATAAAACTTCTGGAACATCTTCCCTTCAGTTTATCATCTCTTTTTCTATTTTTCTTCAAGCTAAGTAAACACTAGTTTTGTCTTGGTAAGCTTAAATAAAAGAAAGGTCACTTAAGTGTGTCTAGAATACATTTCTAAAATGCCTTCTTCCTCCATAGTTTTTTTGTTAGATGATTCTCTTCATGTGCATCTATAGACTATTTAAGCAAAACTCTAAGCCTATTTTGTTGCAGCAAGTGCTATTATACTTTTCATGTGTGTGGGCTTAGAATTACAGAATATGTTTTATTTGGAAGGTATGAAGTGAAATTCTTGAATTTTCATGTGAAGTCCATCTCCTTCATCTTAAAAAAAAAAAAAAAAAAAAGGACCAACAACAAACAAACTGAAAAATAAATTTATTAATATTTTTCCAAAATTCTAGTTATTATTGGTAAACAACATATGTTATGGTTAAAATTTTTCTGCTTTTTTATATTTTACAGACAGCTTTCTCATTGTAAAAATTGACATTTTTTTCCATTACAACTTTAAGTTTTTGGAAAAGGCACCATCTTTTCCCCCCACCACCCCGATGTTCTTTAAAAACTTCAACCAGTGTTACTAGAAAACAGCATCATACTGTCTTTAAAGCTTTCTGGTGATTTGTAACCTGTAGGCTTGAGTGAATGTTTCTCGGTAGTTAGTGAAAGTCATGGGTACTGAATATGGAATTAATTTCCATAACCATAATCAATTTCAAACCAAGTAACAGGATGGTCTCTCTTATTTGTTCCTATTATATCAAACAAGGTTTCTAGGCCTCATATGGTATTACAGTGCTATTTCTACCCCAGACTCGGTGAACAGCTCATCCCTTTTGTGTCATGCACAAGAGAGAACTCAGACCTCATGCCAGGCATACAGACCTTTGTTAAATTTTATCTAAATTATGTTGTTAATTTCGTTTCCTTCCCATAGGTTGTCAAAACTTTCTTCATCCTTTGTTCTCTTTCTCTTCCTTGGGAAAAGAAAGAATTATTCTCATTGTCACATCGCACAATAAGCATAATTGGATATTTCTTTTGATAGCAATAAAAGGGAAATCAGTTTTCACTAACGAGTGATGTAATTCTATTAAGCTATAATGAGTGAATTGTAACGGGAGCCTTCTGAAATGCCATAACACAGCATTGCAGCAAAAAGCAATCCCATGCATCACATAGTCCGAGAGGCTAAACCATGCTGCCTTCGTTCATTTCACCATGGGTCAGTTTTGAAGTTGAGAGACTTTAAAACCCTCTTGAACTTTACTGGTGTCAACAAAGATTCTTGAAACAGTGGCATTAGTTCAGCTCTCATTTTCTACTGTTGATGCATAATACATACAGACAATGTGCTTTAGCTTTGTATTGCTTCGAGGTCAAAAGAAAACTGATAGGATCTACTTTACCACCTCCAACTGCTGAGGAAACTACCCTTCTATAAAATAAAGATCTTGCTTTTGTGCTATAACAAGTACGTGTCATCTTAGAGTTAACACTTACTTTGTCTGAGTTCCAGTAAGGGTGCGGAGTATGGTGCTTTGACACCGTGATCAGTAGAGTTGGGGAGATGAGGCCAAGTTTAGCAGGCAGAATGTTTTTGCCACCAGCATCATTACTGTGGAAAAATTTTTAAAAGGAGACCAGGCTAAGCCCCAGTTCTGGCTGATTTAAAGACAAGGCTTTTCTGTTTTGATAAAGCATCTACTAAAAAAAAAACATTTCTCTTGAAGAAGTAACTTTGAGGCAGGCTCCCCATTCTACCAGTGCTACCAGTGTGACCAACCAAGTAAGTCTGAACTATTTAAAAGGTGGAATTGATTAAGAGATTTTAATGGCTTGTTCTCTCCCTTTGTCATTTCAGGAGAGTGTTTTGGGAAAGGGAGGTGGGGAAAGGTGCTGACATCCTTCCTTAGATTTTATTTAGCGTAGGTTTCAATTCTACCATAGGTCTACTTAAATTTTAAAAAAGCTTCTTAATTATATTTATTTCTAGCAATGATGTTTACATGATTTGTATTATTCTCTTTGTCGTTTTAGTTAGTGATTTAAGACCTAGTGCTTTGGCTGGATCATTTGATGTAAGTCGTTCAATGTTTGACCTCAGAAGCCCACCTCATCGATTCATGAAGGTGAGTTCCCCTCGTAACTTAGGTTATACTGAAAACTCAGCTTACTTGGGGTATCTGTTCCTGTTGCATTGTGTTTTCAAAGTAAACATGGAAGAGCACTGTACTGTGCACTGGAAAGACTAGAGCGAAAAGTTCAATGCCTTGACCAATTTCAAGAGGCTCTTTCCTGATGTCTTCTCTTCCTACTGCTGTTCTGGCCCAACAGGGCTGTTGAGAAACCTGAGTAGGCTGTTAGGCAGGACAAGACAGACATGACATTGTGGTTCATCATCTTATGATTTCCCCCATGCATTGAAAGGTGAAACACTAGACATTTCCATTGGTGCAAAAACCACTGCTTTCCCCTCCCCACCTTGATAATTATCTTATACATAGAGATGAAGTTGCATATATATCAGTGAGCAAAAGAAATCTGCGTTGTCCATATGTGTCCTATATTAGCTCTTTGCATCAAAGTAGTAATTCCATGCTGCTGGATCAAGAGATCGATAGGGAATGAGACAGTTATTTGAAATTGCATGTTGTTTTGTTTTCATCATGCCTTGTTTCATGGTAGAATCTCTCTGGCTTTTTGCATCTGTTGCTCTGAATGAAGTGACTTTTTTCTTTTTTCTTTTTTCTTTTTTCTTTTTTCTTTTTTCTTTTTTCTTTTTTCTTTTTTCTTTTTTCTTTTTTCTTTTTTCTTTTTTCTTTTTTCTTTTTTCTTTTTTCTTTTTTCTTTTTTCTTTTTTCTTTTTTCTTTTTTCTTTTTTCTTTTTTCTTTTTTCTTTTTTCTTTTTTCTTTTTTCTTTTTTCTTTTTTCTTTTTTCTTTTTTCTCTTTTCTTTTTTCTTCCTTCTTCCTTCTTCCTTCTTCCTTCTTCCTTCTTCCTTCTTCCTTCTTCCTTCTTCCTTCTTCCTTCTTCCTTCTTCCTTCTTCCTTCTTCCTTCTTCCTTCTTCCTTCTTCCTTCTTCCTTCTTCCTTCTTCCTTCTTCCTTCTTCCTTCTTCCTTCTTCCTTCTTCCTTCTTCCTTCTTCCTTCTTCCTTCTTCCTTCTTCCTTCTTCCTTCTTCCTTCTTCCTTCTTCCTTCTTCCTTCTTCCTTCTTCCTTCTTCCTTCTTCCTTCTTCCTTCTTCCTTCTTCCTTCTTCCTTCTTCCTTCTTCCTTCTTCCTTCTTCCTTCTTCCTTCTTCCTTCTTCCTTCTTCCTTCTTCCTTCTTCCTTCTTCCTTCTTCCTTCTTCCTTCTTCCTTCTTCCTTCTTCCTTCTTCCTTCTTCCTTCTTCCTTCTTCCTTCTTCCTTCTTCCTTCTTCCTTCTTCCTTCTTCCTTCTTCCTTCTTCCTTCTTCCTTCTTCCTTCTTCCTTCTTCCTTCTTCCTTCTTCCTTCTTCCTTCTTCCTTCTTCCTTCTTCCTTCTTCCTTCTTCCTTCTTCCTTCTTCCTTCTTCCTTCTTCCTTCTTCCTTCTTCCTTCTTCCTTCTTCCTTCTTCCTTCTTCCTTCTTCCTTCTTCCTTCTTCCTTCTTCCTTCTTCCTTCTTCCTTCTTCCTTCTTCCTTCTTCCTTCTTCCTTCTTCCTTCTTCCTTCTTCCTTCTTCCTTCTTCTTTTTTTTTTTTTCCCTAGAGATATGATTCACTCTCCAGTGTACCTAGCAGTACCTCTTCCAGGAAGGATTCGCAAGGCAGTAACAGGAGTCTGGGTAATGTTTTGTTTGTTTACCTTTTAATGAAATATTTCCCTTTGCCCTTGAAACCTTAAGCTGCCTCTACTGTTGATTTTTTTTTTTTTTTTTTTTTTTTTTTTCCCTAGAGATATGATTCACTCTCCAGTGTACCTAGCAGTACCTCTTCCAGGAAGGATTCGCAAGGCAGTAACAGGAGTCTGGGTAATGTTTTGTTTGTTTACCTTTTAATGAAATATTTCCCTTTGCACTTGAAACCTTAAGCTGTCTCCTCTACTGTTGATTTTTTTTTTTTCCTTTTGAGACCAATCTGATTAGCAAGTTAGTTTGGAGATTACTTTGCAATTTGACATTAAGAGTTTTGGACTTGCACCTTCCTGTTGTCAGGAGATAGAGCAAATGAGCCTTTGAGGAGTTCTCATGCTTTTGAAAAATTCATCCCTGGATTTACTACCCCAGTGAACTAAGAAATTACAGATGTTCTGTTAGGATAGAATGCAACACCTTGGTCACAGCTCTAGTCCTTTTTCATGTATCAGTATTTTTCTATGGGAAGTGCCTGGAATATAATACCCATATTACACTGAGAATTAGGCAAGAATATTGCATGCAAACCTAGTATCCTTATTTATGAAAGAATGCTGAAGTAGTAGAGATACTGCAAAATAAGCCCTCAAAAATGAATCAAGTTTCCACAAAAGTCTCTCTGTTGAAAGTCAGAATTTCACTTAATCTCCTCAAAAAGAAGACTGAAGGGCAATGACCTAGTTTCAGTCATGACAGAGAAATGCTGGATATTAAATTACTCTTCTGACTTGAAGAAGAGCATAATAGTAAAATGTTTACTAGGCTGGAATTGAAATCTGAGAAAGACAAAAAGCATGCCAGTTTATAAATTAACAGTGAAAATGATTAATCTAAGGGAAGTGACAGATTATGTGTTCTGCATGTCTCAGGCACATGCTTTTTTTCTTTCTAAAAGTCGTTTGAGTACAACACAAGTTATTAAATTCAGTAAAGAAAACTGAGGTAAATGTGTGAAGACCTTTAACTGTGCAAAAGGTCAGGCTACAGGACTTCATGGATATTTTGTCCTTAAAATGTAGGTGTTAAAATATTTCAGACTCATTTTGAGAGAAGTTTTCAAAGATAGGCAGTTGCCCTACTAATGAATTCCCATATTCTTGGAGTGAACTTTTAAGATACTGCGTTTATTCTAAAAACACTAATTGGCTTTCTTCCATAGATACCATTACATTATCAGGTGATGAACGAGACTTTGGAAGACTGAATGTGAAGTTATGTTATGTTTCTTCTGTAGAACAGATTTGGATCACAGTTTTACATGTAAGCAAATACAAATGATTATTATTTACTCGAATGCTTATTTTACTATACTTAGTGTTATTTCTCATTAAATTTGGCTCTTTGTCACTTTAAGGAATACTTTTAGGAGAAAAACGAATTTATTTCTAAGAATATAAACAAATTTCAGTCAAATGTAATACTGGGCTTCAATCACATCCTCCCTATTTTTTTTTCCTGTTGCAATCTATGTTCTGCTGCAGTTAATAGTAGAAATTAGTATATCACTCTATGTGACCATACATATGTTCTGATTGTGGAGTGAGGAACTGTTCAGCACAGCTAAGAAAGCCGAGCTCGTCACAGGCTGGTTCTGCTGTGGAAATTTTCCTGTGGAAATTTGGAGGTAGCAAATTGGAGCAACTTTGGAGGCAGCATTTAACTGACTTGAAATGTAACAGTACCTTCAGGGCAGAACCGTAATAGCACTTAGAGGACATATAACTTCTTGTGGCTTTTTTGTTAGCCAGTGTGATATTGTTATGCTGGCTGTTTTATACACTTCCAGGAACTGTGAATAATTTTTAGGCAATGGAACTTTGAGTAGTCAGAAACCTCCTAACTACGTCAAGTGATAAATACTACATAAGGGTTTTCATGATTTATCTGTTGTCAAATTGCCACATAGTGAAATCATTAAAATCTACCAAATAACTTTCTACCCTCTGATTGTGAAAATTACTAAATTATCTGAAGTGACACAATCATTACACTGGCTCTGATTTATATTCAATATTACAGGAATTATTAATAATACTAGAGCAGTGTAGCAGACTCTGTTTCTAAGTTGTCTGAAGGCCGTTGTCTAAACTGAGTGTGTTTTTCAATGTTGCAGTGCAAAGACCTGAGCTGGCCTTCTAGCTGTGGGGAAAATCCTCGTATCTGTGTCAAAGGAATTCTCACACTGCCCAAACCAGTGCAGTTCAAATCTTCTGCCAAGGAAGGGTGCAATGTAAGTAGAGGCAGAGAAAACACCAAGAAATCTTTCTTCCCCCCAAAAAATAAAAGTGAAATGTAAATGAATTTTTTAAAATGCACTCCTATGCTGTATTTGCTATGGTAGTTGCCTAGGTTCAGGTCAATGGGGTTTTTTATTTGTATTTTTTTCCAACTTCTCAAAAAAAGCCTTGTTCCACTTCTTCCCCCATATCCTCTTTTGCATTGTACTGGTGCCTTCCTTTTCTCCCAAGTCTGCGGGACAAATATGCTCATAAGGGGACTCAACCATGAGCTGCTGGCCTTGGCAGTTCAGTGGTGGGGGACTGGAGGAAGCCTGGGCAAACCTGTAGGTGCACATTCATCCCAGGGAAGGTAGATGATGTTGCTGCTTCTCATGAAGGCAGGAGACAAAGTTCATGCTTCCTCTCTACAGAAAGTAGTGAGAGTTGGTCGCGTGGGACAAGACTCCCGATAGTGGCAGTAAAGAAATATAAAGGGGATGGAAGGCAAAGCAACATAAACCTCCCATTATGTGAGTCAAAAAAAGAAAGAAAATAAAATTAGCAGACTGAAGCAAAAGGCCACAGGACAGCTTGCTGTGACAATGTATGTATGCTGTTGTAAAGCTCCAGAAGAGATGGCTCCAACTCATTATGCTAATGAAAAAAAATCCAGAGCTTTGTCCCTGCCAGGGCGTGACAATGTGGCGGTGAGTCTGTGGGGGCTCACCACTGTAAAGGCACACTTTTCCATGGCAACCTAAAATGGTAGCTAGGAGCAGTGGCTATGGGACCAGGAAGCCTTGGTTTCTAGGTTTCAGGCTCAGTGCAAGACTCTTACAATGGTGATGTTACCCCTCTGTTTTTCTTTCTAGGACATTGAATTTATGGAAACTTTTGTATTCGCTATTAAACTGCAAAGCCTGCATGCTGTCAGATTGGTATTTAAAATCCAGACACAGACTCCCAGGAAAAAAACAATTGGAGAGTGCTCCTTGGCACTGCGGGAGCTCAACTCAGAGGAGTCAAGTCATTGGCTGGATATATCTCCTCCTTCCAAAGCACCTGTAAGTGCCAATACTGCAAAAGTATGTTGTTATATCAACTAGAAAGAGTTGCTGAAAATTAAAGTAAAATAATTCAATACTAATTCAATGTTAACAATAAACGGGGTTTTGGTTTTGGTTTGTTTTTTTCCCCACTTTCTTGAGGAGAGGCATTTTGATGGGGAAAAAAATGCAGACTTTTGAACTTTACACATAGCTGTTCTGGTCATAAACTGCAGCTGTTTCTGGGAAAAGAGCTAGAGCAAGCTCTTCCACACCATGGCCCACAGCTTGAGGGAGGGGCATTCTGGGGAAATGTTCAGCAAAGGACACCGGATAATTGCCTTTTCCAACCAAAAAAGCATCAGAAGATACTTAGGACTCACAGCAAGAGCTCAGAGCAAATGGAATCTGCTTTTGTTCTGGAAGAAAAGTGCTGAGATCTTCAGTGGCTTGAAACTGCAGAGATAGCTATATATTTAATGTTCAGATTGCATGCTGTGAAGTAATAATTCACAGTTCATTTCCATTACTGTAATAAGAAGCAGGTGGTTTTCACAGTGGGATTTCCTTTCCCCCCTACCCACACTTTGTTTGTTTCTTTTACAGATTGTGTCTAGACATTTGTATTTTCAACAAATTAAACTTGAATTAGCAATTCAAAAGCAAATTTTATCTAAGTGTGTCTGAGTAATGAGTGATACTCTTGATTTCTAACACAAGTTACACTTGACATTTTTTAGTTCTAACAATAATCATATTGCTTCAAAAGCAATAAGATTAAGTGAAAGAGGAAGCTGTTTTAGAAACTGCTTCATCCCAATGTAAATTCCTGAATTATCTCGTAGTTTCTCTCTCTGTGTTGGCTTTCCTCACCATTACATCCAAGAGCCCTCCAGACACTGCTGGAATTCATCCCTGTACTACCCTGTGAGGCAGCAAACTACCTTCCTTGCCAATAGAGAGCCAAGGCTCTGAGCTGAGTAAGTGGCTTCCTCTCAGGGTTACACAGAAATTTTGTGGCTGAGCTGCAAAGAGAATTTGGGTCTCTTCGATGAACTGGAGCCTGACTTCTCTTTATCTGACCTCCTGGTCTCTCAGTTGGTGCATTTTGCTTCACTGAAGTGCATTAAAACTTGAAGGGAACCAGGACTAGCAAAGTCATTTTAAAGGGAGGCTTTTAGGAAAGCTGGGTCTCGGCTGGCTTTCTCTTGCCGTTTTTACAGTGTTCAGAGGCGTTAGCATCTGATAGGAGAGTAATGAGGGTATGGCAACGCAACTTTGCCACTAGCAGAAATTCTAAAAAAAAATTCAGGCTGGATATCTCAATACATTCAGAGTATTGAGTGTAGTGTGTGTGTATGTGTGTAGGCATGTAAAACACAAGTACTTCCATAACATAAGAAACTCCACAGCATGCAGTCACACTGAACATTCATGATACTGGGTGACAGGGCCTTGTATCTATGGAAAGCATTGCTTTTATCTCCATATTGCAAGATTCAAAAGCGCGGGAGGAGAACTCCTAAGGTTTTTGGGTTGGTGGAGCATACCTGGTCTCACTTCCACGCCCAGGTTTAGTAGAGCTACAACTGCATGTCTGGTTTTTCCTGTACATGCTTGCTTTTACCATTGAGGAATCTTTCCCAGGTGAAAACTGAGGACTCATTTATTTATCCAGTATCTCTGGCTGCAGCCCACGAGGGCCATATGTATGCTGCACATAAGCAGCCCATCAGTGGAGCACATGTACTGTAGTCATAACAAGTGCAAGATGCACTTACTGTGCATCTGCAGGTTGTGTATACAACACATGCTTATATTTCTGTCCAGGAAATCCCAGATAGAAATATGGGAGCCCAACATATGACAGAATTCCTGTGTTTCCTGAGTTTATAAGCAACTTAATCCAGATGTTATGGCAACATTCTTCTGCTTGTAGGTGTGCCGAGCAGAACTTCAAGTAGGAACTTGTTTTCAAGCAATAAACAGGAGGATTCAGTTACAGATTCTTGAAGCACAAAACCTTCCAGTTTCATCTACACCGTTGTCTTCAAGTAAGTTACATCAGCTATCTCATGCCTCCTGTCTAAAAGCATTTGTAATGGGTAAATTGCTGCTCGAATGAATTGGCAATTCATAAAATTCCTTACAAACCTCAGACTAGCATATTGTGCAGTAGATTTCCATTGCCAAGGCTTGTTTCCACAGATGTCTTACTTGATTATTTTTGTTTGGTTTGAAGCTACATGTTTATGTATTTTGGAAGATTTTTACCCCAATATTAACCCTGACATACAAGAACATTAGCTTGCACTTGCTGTTTGGATATTGTGTTAAACAATTCAGTATTATTGAACATACTCTGTTTGTGTGACTAGTCAGGAAAGCTATTGTACAGTTCTTTTGGCCAGACTTTTGGGAAACTGTTGCAATTTGAACCATACATGTGGATCTTTTTAGTTCCTTATTGGGTGTGTTTGTGAATAACCCTTTGTGTGCCCTTTTCCCTTCCTTTTGTGCTAGATTTCTTTGTGAAAGTTGGAATGTTTAGTACAGAAGGGCTGATCTATAAGAAGAAGACTCGTCTTCTGAAGTCCACTAATGGCCAAGTAAAGTGGGGCGAAATGATGATTTTTCCAGTTAGCCAAACTGAACAAGGAATTAGCTTTCTCATCAAGCTCTACAGCAGAAGCTCAGTGAGAAGAAAACACCTCCTAGGACAGGTTGGTTTCTGCTAACTAGCATGCTATCCTTTACTTACAATCCAGTTCCACGGGTTTCTTGTTATGAGTTTTAAAATAGAATCATAGAATCATAGAATGGTTTAGGTTGGAAGGGACCTTAAAGATCATCTAGTTCCAACCCCCCTGCCATGAGCAGGGACACCTTACACTAGATCAGGTTACTCAAAGCCTCATCCACCCTGGTCTTAAACACTTCCAGGGAGGGGGCATCTACAACCTCTTTGGGCAACCTGTTCCAGTGTCAATACTTTAATAAGTGTCAAATACTTTAAATAGGGTGGTGTATAGCAAAATAGTAAAGTTTATTAAACTCTTCTGGATGTAACCCAAGAAAGCATAGTACTGGGCTCTTAAACGTGCACTAACATCAGGTTGGGAGTTGACACTTGATTTTGGTTTTAAAAAGAAGTCCTTAAGTCATTTGTGAGTGGAGTATTACTATGTGAAAGATTCCTTCCTACAGGCAGACGTATGATCTCCTCCTTGCCTCTAGGCTTTTTGAAGAAAACGAACATAACACTCAGAGGAGCTCCACAACCTACAATGTACTGTGCAGAAAGAGGGTGTGTTGGCTTACCATACCAATGCACTTACAAACAGGTGTGTGTAAAAGGAGATATCAACAGCTACGATATCAGACTGCTTTGCTGGGTAAAGCAATGCTGAAATCACCACAATATTATAAATATGTATGATCAAGTGATAATGTAGGTGAACACACACAAAATTATTTTTCATTTGAGTGCTCTTTTATTTTTCTTTCTTTTTTTTATTTTTTACAGCTGGAACTTCTGTAGTATTTCTTTGAAAGCATTTGTGCGCTCGTATTTATTTAACCACCGTAAAACTTGGTACTCTAGTCTCTTTTTGCTCTCTCTGTCCTCTTCCCCTGGTTGTTCTAATTTACCATCATCCTGTCCCTTCTTTCTCTCCTTTTCTACATGGTATAGTGAGCCATGCTGTATTTGCTCAGTGCTTTCCCTGACCTAGCTGGAGTTAGTACCAGAATTTTTTAATATATGCATAAATTAACAATGGGAATTGATTTTGAGACCCCCAACTATAATGTCCCTTGTCAGATGGAGGACTGTGCTCTCCTTAGGTACAGAAAATGATACTGTCCCATTCTGATGCTTCTTGTGCCTGCTGAAGACGTGCAGTTTTAGGAGATGCTGATGTGCTATAGAAAGGATGTGCCAGCAAGAGTTACGTGACCTTCCTCCATTTTGTGGAGCCTCATGTCATGTGTATTCCATCTTTCTGTGATTCCTGTTGGTGGAATTGGATTTGGAATAGGAAAAGAAAATAAATTGTTCTGTTTAGTTGTGCTGCCTTGGGGCAAAAATAACTGCGTATGATTTTGCAGTCACTTAGCAATATGTGAGGTCATCTCAACTTGACAAGTTTCATTTAATCATGGATCTTATTTTTAGGGAGAGGAAATGAGCTACTTCTGCTCCTCAGAGGTTATTTGGAAAAGGTTGTTTCAGCTCATGCAGGCAGACATTGCCACATAACACACGAAGACATAAAATATGGCTGAGGGAAAAATGTACTTTGAGCAATTGGCTGGGTAGCTGGAAAAAGATTAATATAGCTGGATCTATTAACTTTGTTCTTCAGAGAATGATGTTTAATTGGATGGTGTTCTAAGCTGACAATACTTAGATTAGGCTGCTTTTACAGGCATGTCTTTAATCATGAGCAAGATGTATATTGAATCTCTGTGGATGAAACATCAGCTGTCTGTGGTATTCTGGAAGACATTATTCTCACTTCTTGAGGATTCATGCCTCAGCAGTGTAGGCTAAATGTACTTCATGGTGATAGTTTCTGAGAAGTCTTAAAAGGACTCATTCTTGGAAGACTTGAGGAAATAGAGTCCCATAAATAATGATACCTACTTACATAAGCAGAATTCTTTTGGCAGTGGAGGCTGGTGATAATATTCAGGAGGAAAACTTCCTACTTGTACCTCATTTCCTTGTTTGATGACCACTCTCCATTAATTGAATACTGAGAAGAAACGGACTCTTAGCCTCTTACTGCGTGACTATGTGTGGTATGGGCATGTTAGTAACCCCTGTGGAATGCAGGTTTGGCCCTGTCTGTTGGAGTGTGCAATTTTAAATGCTCATGAAAATGTTGGACATGGCTGGCTTGGGATGCCAGATGGCTTGCAGCCAACTGGAGTTTGAATGCATAGAACCATTACTGGCTCTGATGAGCCCTTGACCCCAGCACGTGCATTTAAATTGAGAAAGGAATGCTTGACTTAAAACATCGTATTAAGTACAGAAACATTAGTCTGTATTGAGTTCTCTAAACTATTTATTTAGAGGCTAAATTTAAACCCAGACTCCCTGTGTTCCCAGCTGAAAGCCAAAATACGTTAGTTCCAACAGAACCGTATTTGTTGCTGTGATGCTTTGGTCACAATCTACACATTGTATCTTGTTCTACACTTCCATGGTATTTATTTGGAAATAATAAAGGCTGAGCCTCTGTGTTAAAGCACGTAAACTTAATTTTATTTTTCTTTCTGTTTCTTACTGCAGATCTGGATAAGTTCTGATAGCAGTAACCGTGAAGCAGTAGAGCAATGGAAAGATACTATTGCCAACCCTGAAAAAGTTGTTGTTAAATGGTACAGCATTGGTCCATCTTGAGGAATGGAGATGAAACTCAGGACATTTTTCTACAAAGATATTCCCATGTTGTTTGAAATAGTATAAACGCAAAGAAAAATATTGTCTACACAAGTTCTTCAGAAGGTCTCCACTCCATTACACCTCTATGGAACTGGGAAAATTCAGTTTCACAAAGATAAATACTGCATAAATATTATTAAGAAGACTACTTAGGAACTGGGAAAATTGTTTATTTGATTTTAAAAAATCCACCTTGAAAAATATATTTTTGTTCCTTTCAGGCTCCATAAGAGCACAGAAATCCCATCTTGGAGAGAGGCAGCTCAAATTGACATCTTCACTAGTCACTGTCATCCTTGTCTGCAGTCTTGTCTTTGGCAGACTCCAAAGTCCACAGGAATCAGTCGGAGAGTGGCTTGATCCGAGGTACCTCTGAGCCTCTGGAAATGCACCCGTGTTGACATCATTTGATCAGTGTAACCTGTGCCTCAGCAAGTGGGAGAGCTGTGGCTGTAGGAGGAGGCGTGAAGAGAACTATGGAATAAGGCAGTACCCAAAGGCTTTTTCAATCTCCGTCTTTGATGGGGGCTGTTCAGTACCCTGACATGCCTGTAGCTTGAGTTTCCCCCATCCTGCTCCCTAAACACAGAGACTGAAAAATAAGAGTTTCTCTGACTAACTGTGACCCGTGCAAGTGGGGCCCTCCAGACTCGCTCTGTGTGGGTGAATTCTGGTTGGAATCAATGGAATAATCCTGCCTAGGATCAGGGCCAATATTTTTAGATAAATTACTTTATTATATAGAATTCTTATATGTAAACCACTTCTTATCTAATCAACAATGTTCTAGCATTTGCTTACCTTGCTAAAAGCCATACTAACATGTACGAAGGAGTAAGCAAATATTTACTGACATAAGTGCTTTTTATATTAATTAAAATGCAACACGGTAAGGGACTCAGACTTTAAAAGATGGGCTACCTCTGCAGAAGTATTTGTTAGATGTCTAGGGTGCTGAAAAATTATGTGTGCAAGTATATTTTTGTTACTTGTTTCTAACAAGAAGAAATTACCATATTTTTATTGCAAATTATATTTTTCCTACAAAGTCCTAAACTTATTTTTTTTTTCTATTAGTCCCGGTATTTTCAGGGGTTTATTCATAGTTATTTTTAAGGCAGGAAAATGCCATGTATATAATTGATAATATATACATTTAAAAGCACAGGCCTATTTGCACTACTTTAACTACTGGGTTTAAAAATATATATATATTCCATTAAACCCACTGCTTACACATTTTCTGAAAGTCTGGACTGTACAAATATGTATGTTCGTATAGATGCTGAACAATTGTATCTTTTTTATAACTTGGATCCCATTCAAACATCTGACATGAACTACAGTGGCAGTGAGAGCACTTGCTGCTGGAAGGCAAAGGAACAGTGAGGAGCAGAGAAAATGCTGTAACAGGAAAGCACATCATATTTAAACATAGAGCTTGGATCATCTTTATTTTAACTTTTTTGACTTCAAGTGAGGGTCAAGAAAATATGGAATCTCTTAGTTTTGGGGTTGTGGGGTTTTTTTATCAGCTGTTAATTGAAGCATTTAAATTTTCAACCATCCAGATTTTTGTTGTTGAAATTTAGTGTTTTGAAAATGGGCAAACAAAAGGATTTTCCCAGGCTCTTAACATGCTCAGTTTTTGACCAGTTTTTATAAATGAACTGGAAAAATTTTTGCTTGTTACTCAGAGAACAAACATGAGTTCTTGCTCTTACTTACTCCTTGCAAAGCTCCCAGTAGGCCCAGTGGATCTTGACTGACGGCATTAACTTCCAGCCAGTTACGACACTTGGTATGAGCCTGGCCTGTTGGGTAAAATGGACCAAGTTGGTATTCTTGGAGTATCTTTACTTGAATACGTGGATCTTTCTTATTTATTGTGGCTGAACTGCAGTAAAACAAAAGTGCAAACTAACAGTTCCCTTATGCAGAATGCTGCTCTATTTGAAAGAGAGGACAAGGAATATCCTGGTGTTTTGGAGGCTTCAATTACCATGGAAGTAGTTCTACAGAGATTGCCAACTCAATGGATACTGTGTAAAATGGACTTTTGGGGCTGTTTTAGGACACCTAGCCTTTTGAAGGCCTACTGTGTCTCCTTTTTCTGATCTTGATATTTAATCTATGTGTTTATAATAAAAGTTATGACCAGAAAATATCCCACTTTTTTTTTTTTTTCTTCCAATTGTTTATACCAGTGTTTACCAGCATCTCAAACTGAAGTTCAAGTCTTACCTTGAGAAAATGCCAGCTAAGGAACTGTATTTCATGTAGCATTGCATGTAGGGAGTTGAGCGCTACCACATTGAAGAGATACAGAAGGCCTCTCTTTGCAAGACGCACACAGGTACTAGAGCACTCTGTGTGAAGAACGTACCCTGAGGTGTTGCTTCGTCCTGTGTTCATTTCCAGCCTTTGGGGTTTTCTGCATTCACGTGTGCGTTCATGTAAGAATTTAATGAATTCTTAGTAGTTTGATAAAGACACTATGCTGCTTTTCTATAAAAACAAAGCATTTTAAGTTGCTTGTTGCTGAGATGTGTTCCTCAGTTTGTCCAGAGCACTACAGTGTTCTTGAGAAAAGTGATTGCATTTCAGGTTTAGAAAGCAAGAAGTCATTTATTTGTCCCACCACGCAAAATTTGGCTCTGCTTGTTACTAGTCGCAGCTGACTCAATGCACTCTCCATTACTGAGAGCATGCCAGTGGAGCATTGGGATGTCTGTCAGGCAATGTTCAGCTGCAATAAAATGATAAGAAAAAGAAAGTTATGTTGCACAGTTGTAGCTTTTTTTTTTTTTTTTTAAACTGCTATATCCTAATTACTGGCTGTCAAGATCTTGGGAGGGAACCAGGAATTCTCTTTGCATTCACTACTGAGGAAAATCATCTAGGGGTGGAGAGGAACCTGCCCAGCTCCAGAACCAAAAAATACTCATTCATCACATAAGCATTTATCTTGCAGGTAGACCAAAACTGTGCTTCAAACAACCCATCATCACCTGAAATAATAGTCCAGTCCTCCTAAAAAAATGCCTGTTTTGGTGCTTCTGAGGATGTTTGCCAGGTAAAGGAATCGTCCAGGGGATTGCTTACAGTGGGTTGGAAAATGAAACTGTTTTGGAGGATGAGGGTTGCCAGTGAGTTAATTATGTGAGGTTATCTGTGTAACAGGTGTTGTGGAGGATATATGGGAGTGGAGAATGGCTGGAAGGAAAAGTCTTTGTAGATTATTTTCTTCCATGTGCGTGTTGAGAAGACACGGGGCTGTATACACATTGACTGACTCTTGAACAGAATTGTGAAGGATGCAAGATAATTTGTGGTGTAGTAGAATCAACCAGGTAGACAAACTTGCTAGCTGTCATATAAAGCATTTTTTATTGATGATTCATTGGATGTAGAGTTTATCAATAAATTTGTTATGTTAGACAACGTTCCTGAGGGAAAAACATGAGACAAGGGCATACATGCATGTTCCCAGCACCAGTCCCAGGGTACAACTGCCTTTAAAATGGGGGGTGTTCCAGCAAGTGTTACTTCAATCTGAATGTCTTGCCTTTTAAGTGCAGAATATTTTGCTTTACTGCTTAGTGACTGCCTCACTATCAATGCATGTGAGACTCTGGCTCCTCCAAATTCAGCTCCTGGCTTATTTGAGATGAAGGCAGTTTTCCAGAAAAGGAAAATTATGCATCATTTGTAGACCAATCCACGATATAAATTAGCAAGGAACTCTTATGTACTCCAGGATACATGCAAGAAGAAGGAGAAAAGGTGTCTCAGAGCACTCTTCTAATGGTGATAGCTCTACGTTCTCCCTTTAATGCCTGCTCAGCCACTGTTATTTTGATTGTTATATCCACATTTACTGCCACTGAAAATACTGTTATGAAAGCTGTTTTGCCAGTTCAGTTAATTTGAAGATAAAATGCCCAAATGGCTTACAGTTGGATTTGCTGTTGCTTGTAGTTAAATGACTCACTCAACTTCTTAAAACAATTTTGATGAAAGCAGCAAAGTTTCAGAAGCTGCACCAGTTTTATTTCGGTCAGCTCCAAAATGGATGTAGGTGAACTGGCACAACATTTATGGTCTTACATTGAATGTTATTCATACAGAAATCTGTCCCTGCTTAGTTAGAAACCAGCCATAGACTAAACTTAATCAGATTTTCTAGAATGTGTGTATATACTTTCACTGGTTAATCAAACAATTCTGTTTTAAGTTTGTTTATTTAGGACTAATAGCATTCTGTATGTAAACAAGACCCACAAATTTATTTCTCGAGTCTTTGCAACTCCATGGCATGGCATGGCATTCCTTTTAAGGAAAAAACATGTACAATTCCACCTCAAAAAAATGAGTGAGTGTAACGGTTTGTAAAGCATTACTTGGAAAATAATTGTATTTAAGAATCTGATCTTTTCAGATCACAACACAAATAGCACCATGTTGCTAAACCTATTAGACATCTCTGGTTTGTTTTCTTGTTGGCAGGACATTTGTATAAAACAAAAGGTAATTTTGTAAGCATTCAATTAAGCACATATGCTGTTTGAATTGAAAACTGCCTGATGGAGATTGCTTTTTGAGTTATGAGTTCATTTTGCAGCCAAAGCATAAGGTTGTCTAGAATTGGGGGCAGGGTTGTCCCACTTCTTACTTTCATCCTGCCAACATATGTATGACATGGGAGGGAGGCTGCATAGTTGTGGAAAGCTTGGCATAAATCGTGCTGGATATGATATACCCTCCTTGTTTTTCCAGCTTCTGCTGTAAAATTACATCACCATATAAATCCAGCCCTGTACATGATCTCATGCTTGGTGCATGGAAAACGCTGTCGCTAAAATCAGCACTGTGTTCCACAAACATTGCTCCAGCAGATTTACGTTCCTTTCTTTACCTTGCACTGAGGAACAGTCCATCGTCCCTCACAATCTATGCCAAAACTCCCATTGCATTCAGCAGAAGCAACCAGTCTTCAAAGCTGGCTTAGTTACTTCAGCATTGTGATGGTGTGATTTATCTAACAAA